CAAAGTCGCTATGAGTTATGCAAAGACTTAGAGCAGAGGGGAACAGCCATTAATTTGTTTCCAAAATAATACTACATTGATCAGCCATAACATTACGACCACTGACAGGTGAAGCGAATACCCCTGATTACCTCGTTACAGTGGCACCTGTCAGTGTGTGGGGTTTATTAGGCAGCAAGTGAACATTCAGTCCTCGAAGGTGATGTGTTGGAAGCAGGAAAAACGGGCAAGCACAATTATCTGTGTGACTTTAACAAGGGCCAAACTGTGATGGCTGACGACTTGGTCAGAGTGTCTCCCAAACTGCAGGTTTTGGTGGGTGTTCCCACTCTGCAGTGGTTAGTACCTACCAACAGTGTCTAAGGAAGGACAGATGGTGAACTATGAAGAGAAATGTTGAGCAGCTCTAGTGGTGATATCATGGCTGTTGAACTGGTCGCTAACTTGTCCTCACAATCATAGTTTTTGCTGCTTTTACATAGGTTTTTCACCGAATGGTCGACACATCTGTGCTCTTCCTGGCAGTAGAACTGTGGCAGCAAATGGATTCACTGAAGCTGCACAGTGAGCTGCTGAGTGACACGAGTACCAACCAACTGCTGCACTAACTAATGTATACACAGTGTTAGGCGGGTGGTCATAATGTTATGGCTGATCAGTGTACCTGATATCTCAGCAAATCTAAAAAATAAGCCAGAAGAGACAGAAAACGCAAGCAGTCAAACAGTTATATAGGTTTTTCACTTATTTAGAAGAAAAAATGAAGGCAAAAGCAGTTTGTTGTAAACATCCACTGCAGTTCTGGTTCAACTTCAGGCCATTGTTGCCTATCATAGATGACTCTCACACATACACACACACTCTCTTTTTGTGCACTGATGAATTATTATCATGAATTTTGAAGAAATGTGGGTTTCTTGCCCCACCCAACTTTACTGTAGTGATGTCACTGCGTTTCTACATCTCAGCAGTGGCTGTGGACAATGTTATCATATAGCATCAAAAGAAAATATGGTTAAAACCACAAACATAGAACCAATTGTAATATACCTGAATTATCCCTTAAGGTGTTGTCAGAGGTGGGGAGAGATGAAGTACAAATGCTTTGTTACTGTTCTTAATTAGATTTTTTAGGTATGTACTTTAGTAATGAACGTGTGTAGCTTTGACATCTCTGTGTGTTATTAAAATGTTTGCAGATTATTTGGTAAATGTATTGAACTACTTGTTGTACAGACCACTGACAGTTAGAATTGCTTTGACCATGATGGGCCAAATGTTTTCTACATGTCAGGCTGAGCCTTACTTACATAGAGACAGACAGACAGAGAAGGAGAGAGCAGTTCACTCCTGAGTGCTGTGCTGCTGATTGCTTGTGAAGCCTTTGTGTTTCTCTGTGCCAGGTCTTGGTGGGGCAAAGCACCTCGCTGTCAGTGCCATTCAGTCAGATAAAGTGTGTGTGCGCGCGTGTGTGTGCCTGTGTGTATACACCGAAAGTCAGCTAGGTATGAATCACAGTGAGCCAATGGAGCCACGGAAAGAATGACTGGATGATTAGACACCCAAACTGCTCCTTCATATCAACACAAGACTCACCATCCCAAACACTACAACAGAATTGAATATCACAGAAGAGAATCAAAGAATCTATAGTAATGGAAAGATACCGCATAGAATAGATTAGCAAGAAATAGTGTAGTAGAATGGAATCGAATAGAATAGCAGTTTGACATTTGATTTGACAACACAGAAAAAGGCAGTTTTACTGGAAAATTTTAAGTGCCAAAACTTAAAGTGAAGCACTGACAGTTCACAAACTTTCAGTCGCCAGAGGCTCCAAGAGTAGAATAGAATAGTAAATGCACTGGTCAACCATACAGTATGTCTATGCCAGAGTCCAAATGACACTTTGTACTGCTCTTGCATAGGAAAGGTGTGAATATTTTTCCACCTCTCCTACCACAAAAGTCAGTAAAGAAAATAGCAGCCTGTTCTTTTCACTGGGTGCAGGGTAATAATGTTCCCACTTTGAAGATGACAGACACATTCTTTCTTTGCCTCGTGGTTCTGCCTAGGCTATAAATTTGTTGCCCAACTGTTGACATCACTTGCAATATGGTGCGCACAGAGTGTGATCAGCACATGCACTGTGAGCAAGAACAAGGCGGTAGACTCTTTCTTGTCTGCTCTCTCTCTCTCTCTCTCCCTCGCTCACACACACACACAAACGCACAATGGTGGCCAACGAGTCATAAAGTAATAAAGCTCTACGCACCCCTAATGAAAGCAAAGAAGAGACTCGGATGAATAACAATCATTGCTTTGATGGTGGGTGTCTGTGTGTAGAGGGAGGTATCAGCTTCTCCCTCCAGCAGCAGTGAAAGCTAATTCCCAGTGTCTCTGTGGTCCCACTCCTCCCCTCTGGAATGGAATCCACCAAATCGCTGCTAATTGAATAAGTGACAATGAATGGGCAGACGAGGCGACAGATGCTCGCGTGCCTTTACAACCGAACCTACAGCACCACCGCGCGCACGCACGCACGCCCACGCACACATTCCTCTTGACTCCAATTTGAGCTGGGGCTCGGAGACGCGTTTCTATGGCCGCTCCACCTGCTGCGCCTATTGACTTGGGGGAGGGAGCGCGTGGAGAGGGAATATTGCGAACATTGTCTTGAATGTTGGCGACAGACGTTTAATTCACTCTATCACTTTATGGCTACAAGGCCCAGACACAAGGAGGCAATTTTTGGGCGCTGCATAATGAAGAGAGCTGCACCCAGGAGTAGGGGCTGTTTGTTTGTTTCTGCTGATCGCATGCATTTGTGCACTGATCTGGGCTTTAGAGCCGCCTATGGATCAATAAAATTATCTCTGGGAGCTGGGAGCAGGATAAGTTAAATCCAAACTCACTAAATCCTAGAGACGTGGCATTTTTACACCTGCAGAGGATGAATATTTTTAGCACAATTACTGCTGTTCTTAAGCACTAAAAAGGCCATGTTTATTCTTCTACTCTGGTTATGTAGCGTGCCTAAATGTATTAAGCCTCCATCTGCTTTTTACTTAGATTAGACCCCCTATACATTAATTGTTTTATTCTGCTCAGTGTTTAAGACCCCAGCGTACCCACAGCCCCTCCAACTCAGTCTCTTTCGTTTTCTCCCTTCTTCCACTAAGTCCGGGGCTGACTTTGTTCTCCAAATGTGATTAGCTTCTCTGGGACGCAGGGAGTAATTGCATTACCGCATTGTGAGCATTTGGAGCTATGGAAATGTTGGGTGCCCGTATCAAGCCTGTTTAAATACCAAGCGAACTATGGTGAAAGATGTGCATGAGATGAATGAATGCAAACATTTTGCAGACACGGCTCAGGCCATGAATAGACACTCGGGGGAGAGAATAAAGGTTTTCCGCCAATTTAAGCCTTCGGGTTCAAAGGGGGAGCTTCTGGTTGGTGTCCATGCGTATTTGGAATATTTATTAAAGTATTGTTTTCAGGCAAATGCGCGGAAACCTTTAGAAACTGTGCAGATGTGTTGCGTTAAAAAAGATCAGACTACACTGAATAACCTGGTTCCAACGGATAACATCACCAAGTCCTGTGATGGTGTTTATATTACATTGCTCATGCAGACACTCGGTAGCAGCTGGTAGTAAATTATTCATTTGTTTTGCAGATTCTCTATCTATTTATTTCCTAAGGATAAATGTAAGTTTCCAGAATGATTCTGAAAGCCTGGACTTAGAAATGTCTTAAGACTTGGGATCAGAGAGGCCAGATATGAGTTTAGTCTTTCTGAAGAATGTCTGTGTTCTTGGATTTCTGTTCCAGTTGGTCAGCTGCAGTGGCTTCTCAACTTCATCTTCTGCTCTAATATTTGATCTGAATGTGTATGATTGTATGATGTATGTTTTAGTAACCTGTTATTGCAGCAACTGAAGTCTCTATTAGCGTATTGTCCCTCTCTCTACCCTTAAGGCGCACGCAAGCGCACCAAAACCACGTGCATGCGCACAAAATGTGTGAATGGATCTGGAAAAGCTTCTTGATACTTTACAATTCTCCATGAACTCATTTCCTCACAGTCGTGTTGGGTTCGGGGCTCCGCTGGAGTCGTGTTTGGTCGGCTGTAATCGCCGGGTCCTGGTGCCAAACAAACTGCGCCAGATGGTCTCCAGGATGCACTGGTCCCAGTTGTGCCCATTCGTTAAACCTTAGATCTCTCCCTCTCTCTTTCTCTTCATCTGTTTCATGCGTGTGCGTTTAGTGCAACTCTCTTTTTTCTGAGGAACTTCAAATAGATGCCCAGCGCTGTGAGTTCTGAATGCTTCGCTCCTTACCAAAATCACTTCCTGAGAGAAGTTTGAATTGATGTTAAACAGATCTGTGCACGGGGACGGAGCTGTTCCTCGGCGTGACCAGCTCTTTAAAGGCATTCGTTAGAGCCCGGCTCCCTTTCAGCGCGATTCGCCACACAGCTTAGCTGGCTAATACTCTCAGCCATGGACAGCTACAGATGAGGCGCATGTGGGAAAAAAAAGTCACTGAAAATACCTGGCACTAAGTGCATGTGCAAGGTGAGGGGGTTTGTCGGCTATCATTTAAGCAGAGAGTAGAGTGAGTCCACGGCATTTCTTTATTTCAAGGCATTCAGTACGTCAGTGAGTGCGTGCTGCAGCTAGTTGTGTCAGTTGTATGTTATATACTTTTAAGTGAGCCTATAAGGGATTTAAAGGTGGTGGCTGACATCGCTGATGATTTACGTGACTATCTTTGTTTTGTGGAACTGGAATTTAGACTCTTTGTGTCTCCATGCTGTCTGGCGACAACAGAACCGAAGCGAGAAACTCGTAAACCTTCCTGTGGTTTTATAGCAGTGAAAAACGACAGGGTATGCTCCTTGAATGAATGTTTTCTTCTCTGGTTTATTTTCTTCCCTGTCCATTGTAGTGGCATGGTCGTTACTCTGAAAAGTGGGGAAAGTGAACCCTCTTGCGCCTCCTTCTTCTCTCTTTTGGAGTTAGAGTGGCCACCAGCCATCTTTTGATTTAAAAAACGTTTGTCTTTCCCGGGATGTAAAAAAAGGGGCCGTGGCTGATGTACAGCTACTTGGTTTGAGGCGGGTTATTTTGGGCAAGTCTGTGTGCACGGGCGCCTCAAACGGAGAGAGGGAGCGAAGGGGAGCGCACGGCGCACAGAACAGACGCAGAGAGAGGAGGGAGAAAAGCGCACAGATCCAGCGGCTCTCAGCTTGTTCTGCCTGTATAACAAGGGAGCACAGACAGAAACAAATCTGGATGCTTTTACGGAAATCGGTGCAACTTGTGCCAGCTTGTGTTTACTGAACAAATCTTATTTTTTCTCTCTTGGCTCTGGCCAGAAACCAATGCAGCTGCTGACTGAGGGAGCGCAGCATTCAATAAGTTAAAACTGGAATTTTCCTGCACAGCATTTTGGAGCTATTTTCTGGGATCTGTTTTGGTGTTCCACAGAAATGCAACCAGGTAAAATGAGGGGACTCTTTTTGTCAAAAATGTTGAAAGTTTTGGCTGTTTTGGCGCTGGCAGCACAACACGTCACCGGTAAGACACTGAAATATCAGATTTATGAGGAGCAGAAGGTTGGTACAGTTATCGCCCGTTTGAAAGACGATGTTGCGGATGTTCTGGCTAAACTTCCGAGCTCAGTGTCGCTCCGCTTCAGAGCTATGCAAAGAGGGAGCTCGTCGTTCCTCACACTGCGCGAGCAGGACGGAGAAATCAGCATCAGGACCAAAATCGACCGTGAGAAACTCTGCGAAAAGAATCTCAACTGCTCTATTCAGTTCGACGTCCTGACACTCCCCACTGAGCACCTGCAGTTGTTTCACGTCGAGGTGGAAGTGTTGGACATTAACGACAACGCACCACAGTTTGCCCGTGCCGTCGTTCCCATTGATATCTCTGAGAGCGCGGCCGTGGGAGCGCGCATTCCCCTGGACAGCGCCACAGACCCCGACGTCGGGGAGAACTCACTGTACACATATGCCTTAGAGCCCAACAACTTCTTCAAGATTGACATACAGTCCAGGACAGACGGGGCTAAATATGCAGAGCTTGTGGTGCTCAGGGAGCTGGACCGAGAGGTGCGCTCCGGTTATGAACTTCAATACACGGCTTCTGACAGGGGCGTTCCCCCGAGAACGGGTTCGACTCTCCTCAAAATCAGTGTTACCGACTCAAATGATAACAGCCCAATTTTTGACAGGTCCTCATATGTCATAAATCTCCCAGAAAATTCACCTGTTGGAACTCTGCTCATTGACTTAAACGCCACTGACGCGGATGAGGGTACTAACGCTAAAATAGTCTACTCCTTCAGCAGTCACGTGTCCCCTAAAATAATGGAGACGTTCAAAATTAACCCCGACAGCGGTCACCTGACCCTCATCAGGCGTTTGGACTATGAGAGCATTAACTCTTATGATATTGATGTCCAAGCACAAGACATGGGTCCAAACTCCATGCCCGCTCACTGCAAGATCCTAGTCAAAGTGGTAGATGTGAATGACAACAAACCAGACATCAGCATCAATCTCATGTCCTCTCAGGGGAACGGGGACGCTGCTTATATATCCGAGGCTTCTCCTTTGGACTCGTTTTTAGCTTTGGTGAGGGTGGAGGACTTGGACTCTGGGTTGAACGGAGAGGTAGAGTGCAAACTTCATGGGCAAGGCTTTTTCAAATTGCAGAAGACTTATGAGAACAATTATATCATTCTGACCAATGTGTCTCTGGACAGAGAGAGGAGGTCAGAGTTCAGTCTGACAGTGGTGGCAGAGGACCGGGGGACTCCCAGTCTTTCTACTGTGAAACATTTCACTGTGCATGTAACTGATGAAAATGACAATCCACCACGTTTTGAGAAGGTGCGATATGAGATCTTTAAATCAGAGAACAATGCCCCTGGAGCATACCTGACCTCCATCATGGCCACTGACCCTGACCTGGATGCCAATGGACAGGTGAGCTACTCCATCTTGGAAAAGGGTGTTCATGGGAGCTCCATCTCCACTTACGTCACCATTGACCCCTCCAATGGCGCCATCTATGCACTGCGTACGTTTGATCGTGAGGATGTAAGTCGTATCTCATTTGTTGTGCAAGCCAAAGATGCAGGAAAACCACCACTTCTGAGTAATGCTACAGTTATTCTGAACATCCTGGATGAGAATGACAACCCTCCAGTCATTGTGGTCCCCCAGCTGTGGAACTTCACTGCTGATGTGCCTGCATCAAAGTTCACAGAGGCTGGACACTTAGTAACCGTGGTGAGGGCTACAGATCGTGACACAGGGGTCAATGCTGAGCTCATCTGCTCCATTGTCAGTGGCAATGAGGAGGGTTTCTTCCTTATCGATCCAAGAACATGTGAAATCCATGCCAATGCCAGCCTGGAGAACTTTCCCCATGAGCATGCAGAGCTGACGGTTGTGGTTCGTGATCAGGGAAGTGAGAGCCTCAGCGCTAAGGCAGTTCTGAAAATTACCCTCTATGAGAACATGGAGAACCATGTCCAGGTGATGGATCAGGGGGAGTCTTCTTTCGATGTATCCCTGAGTATCATCATCTCCCTGGGGGCCATCTGCGCTGTGCTCCTGGTCATCATGGTGGTGTTTGCAGCTCGCTGTAACCGCGAGAAGAAGGACACCAGGCATTCCTACAACTGCCGGGTGGCTGAGTCGACCCACCAGCACCATCCCAAGAAGCCCTCACGCCAAATCCACAAAGGTGACATCACCCTGGTGCCCACAGTGAATGGCACCCTGCCAATCAGAGCTCACCACCGCTCACCTTCAGCCACACCCCCCATGGACCGAGCCCAGATAGGGAGCCGGCAAAACCATCACAGCCGCCAATCACTGAACAGCCTAGTAACCATCTCATCCAATCACATACCAGAGAGCTTTGCCCTGGAACTGGCACACGTAACCCCACCAGTGGAGGTGAGCAGACTCTCTCTCTCTCTCTTTCTCTCTCTCTCACACACAAACACACACACAGAAGCAAACTGCTCACAGAAATTTCAAATGTGGTCCCTCAGTCCCTTTCCAAATTTTCTCCCTCTCTCCTTTCTCACTTTCTCTCGCTGACACACACATATTTATACACGCACACAACAGCCTTCTCATCCTCACACAGCTGTCTCCGTTTGAGCAAATTAACTCATCTCCATGTGTGACAGTGACTTAATCAACACTGCCCTGTAGTTCAAACTGACTCTCATTAGAACTGCTGATGATTATAGATGTGTCTTTGTCTTTACCTTGTTTACACCCTGTCAACATTACCTTCGTCATAACCACGACTCACCCCCTCAGTCATATGTCTCCATATTTATCTAGACTCACCCCCCCCAACCCCCACCCTTTTTTAACATCATCCATTTTGTCTCATTCATTTTCAGCAGCTTCTCCATCATCCATTTTGTGTTTACTCATCTATTATTTTGTCTTCTGTGTTGTCTCTCTCTCCTTTTTCCCCTCCTCTCTTTCCCATCATTTATTCA